ATAGCTGGCCAATCAGAGCACACTTCGCTTTTCAGACCGATGAGCTTGGTAAAAATCGACGCGTTTCAGAAAGGCGGGGCATAGAGGAGGAACAATAATGTACAGTATGTGGAAAATAATGTGTTTTTTTTACCTTAAACCGCATAAACACATTTCATTACACCAAATACACAAAATAATGTTCTTTTTAGCAACATCATATGACCCTTTAACATTATATTTTTTATAGCACAGTTCCTTTATTTTATAACTGGAATGTTTTCAAATATATTTCTTACAGAGGGAAGAGAGGAGATATTGAACCTAAATTGCAATGTTATAAACTTCATCCACTGCATAAAAGAAAAATGCAATCTGGATCCCCAAGGTAACTTAAAGTATGCTTCAGCTCAGGTCAAATATGGGTTAATATTGAAGATGAATTTAATTGAGTTACTTAAAAGTTTAATGTAACATTAATTTCAATGGTTAAATTATATTCTTAAATTTTTGAAGCATACGTACGTTGTCTCTGCCTGTGCAAAACACTACACTCTTAAAAATAAAGGCGCTTAAATAGTTCTTCACAGCGATGCCATAGAAGAACCATTTTGGTCCCACAAAGAACCCTCAAAGGTTCTTTAAAGAACCATCTCTTTCTTACCTTTTTAAAAAAAAAATAACCTTCTTTCGCCACAAATGCTCTTCAGATGTTAAAGGTTCTTTATGGAACCATTTAGACAAAAAGGTTCTTCTATGGCATCGTGAAGCACTTTTATTTTTAAGAGAGTAGGGGTTTGTAGATGCTTGCTGTGGCATTGCTATGTAGTTTATAAGGTGCTCCCAGTGGTTTTTAAAAAACACTGTGAAGTTTTATTCTTAGGGTCTGGGGGTTGTTCAACTCCAAGCAACACTAAAAAACAGAAACACACTTGCTAAGCTACTAGCGGTTAATTTGAAGCTGAACAGACTCAGTGTAAGTGATCTAAAAAAAGAACTGTTCTCTGTAGAGACTGTGGACTTGATGGACAGGATGGGAGAGCTGGTGAACTTGGCAGAGAGAGCACAGAGCAACGACCTCGTCAGCAGTTTGCTGAAGGAGAGAGAGAGCTATATTCCATTACATGTATCACGTGAGTTTGCCCTCACCTACTTCAAGTACATCAGATACCACAACAACTATGGAAAATCAGTAAAAACTGCTTTGTATGTTCCCTTGTGCAGGAGGTGAAGGCAGTGAAGGTCCAAAGTATACTGCAGTGTTTGACTTTGGGACAAGTTACCCTGAGCTAGCAGGCAATGCTTCTATTTCTCATTTGTTCATCTATAATTTATTAAAAAGGAAGAATTTGATATCAAGAAAAACACTCCTTGCTACTTCTTTTCATCGTATTGTTCTTTAAAAGGAATTTCCCACAAATCTAAAAAAAATGAATTTGACATGTTCACTAGCAGAAATATAAGATTTTTGTTATGGATATTACATAGTAGGTTCTCTATTTAATCTAATCTGTTTTTCTGCTAAATTTAGAGATTCTGAGAAAACTGTCAAATCCTTCAAAGGAGAGGGACAAAAGGGGTGGAGCATCTAAAAGAGGAGTAAGTCAAAACCGCATCAAAGCTGCAGTCAACTTTAAGAAAGCCATCACAACACCTCGGAGCTGAAGAGTCCCTTCTCTTTCCCTGTGCTCTTTAACATATTGTTAATATTTTATTTATAGAATTCATTGTATGACTCCTGTAGGACTTGAAGACTGGAGGAATAAATTAAATTTTAAAATACACTATATTGCCAAAAGTATTGGGACACCCCCTTCTAATGAACAGGGTTGACTACTTTGGTAATTTCCATGAGTACAAATCTTAATGTTTAAGCATAATGATATTCTAGGTAATTGTGTGCTTTTAATTTTATAGCAAGAGTTTGGACAGGACCCTTTTCTATTCTAACATGACAATGCCTCTGTATATAAGGCAAGGTTCAAAAAGAAATGATTGATTAAGTCAGTGTGGAAGAACTTGACTGGTCTGCAGAAAGCCAAGTCCTAATCCCAGCTGAGCATCTCTGGTGTGACTTTATATGCAGACCTTGAGCCAAAAACTCATCACTAAACACCAATGGCTTGTACATATGGGTGCAGTCATTTTAGACACTTCCAAAACTGTTGCAACAGAGATGGAAATACAAATTTTAAATACAATAATTATGTGTTCCATCTTACGTTGCCACCGTTTTGGAAGTGACTTTTTCTGTTCTAAAGAAGGGGGTATCCCAATACTTTTGTTCATATAGTTTATGTACAAGTCATTGGTGTTTGGTGATGAGTTTTTGGCTCAAGGTCAGCATTTAAAGTCACACCAGAGGTGTTCAGCTGGGATTAGGACTTGGCTTTATCATTTTTTATCATTGGCTGAAATCAATCATTTCTTTTTGAACCTTGCCTAATACACAGAGGCATTGTCGTGTTAGAATAGAAAAGGGTCCTGTCCAAACTGTTGCTATAAAATTAGAAGCACACAATTCCATAGAATATCATTATATGCTTAAACATTAAGATTTGTACTCATGGTAATTACTAAAGAAGTCAAGCCTGTTTATTAGAAGGGGGTGTCCCAATACTTTTGGCAATATTAAAATGTGACACTGTTTCACAATATCACAGACTTTACTGTATCAAATAAATGCATTTATTAAAATAAATCTTACTGACCCCAAATTTGATATATATTAGATGTAACATTTAGATGTAGCCTAACGTAATGCGATATATATATATATATATAATTTTTTTTGTTTGTTTGTTTTTTTATACAACAGTTCGTTCTGGTTCTCAAATCTGATTGGTTGAGAACCGTGCGATATCGTACTGGTATCGCTACAGGAACGCCCTTTCACAATTTTGTATCACTCCGCTTGTTCTAGCCGGGTCTATGTTTTTTTTTTTTTATTCACTGAGCTAATGGTAGAGTACGTTAGTTAATATAAGAAGAAACGACTAGCTTCGCGGTCTCTCTCTCATTTGGATGC